ATATTATACATACTAGTATATATGTATACATATATATATATATATATAGATGTGTGTGTGTGTGTGTGCATGTTGTGTGTGTGTATGTGTGTGTGTACACATACGTGTATGTGTCCCGTATGTGTTCGTGTGTGTGTTTTTGTTGTGTGTAAGTGTTTTGTGTGTAAGTGTGTGTCTGCGTGTGCATGAACGTGTAAAATAAAGGTATGTATATGTATAAACATACGTATCATGTATATAGTACGATTATATGTTCAGATGCGCGCGTGTGTACGCTTGTATGTGTTCACAATCATAAATAGCATCCTTATGTGCGTCCGTGAGGGGGTTTTGTAAGAATGTACTACAGAAACACATGTATGTCAAGCACAGACAGACAAATATACTTACCCTTTGTGAGTTGGTCCTTTCGGTGCCACACGTAACTAATAACTGCCTGAGAGATACTGATTGAATATCATAGCATATGCATATAAGCACACTTAACAAACCTATATACAAAGTTAAACTAAGTATATATGCTAGTTGCACCTACTATATAGCACAGCCAATTACGAATTATCATATTTTCACATACCTGGTCTCTTTGTTGGCGAACTTGCCAATCTTAGCTTTGACCACATCAATACCCAGACGATCGGCAATCAGCTTTGCCAGGGCTGGGTGTGAATTGCCTGCTAATAACTTGATAGTAGACATGCTGGGCAAGGGTTTCTGTTGTATCTTCTTAGAGGGAGTGAACGAGGATAGTCTTTGAACGCTGAGGTCGTCGTGATTCAAGTTTTCTACCGACGGAACTGTACTAGGCATTAGGAGTTCGGGTGATGCGATGAAAAGAAGGTGACGTAAAGCAGGTTGATGGTAATGAGAACGAGTATCCTATATATCGTTACTAAAGTACATACAACTGTTTTATTGGTAAAGTGGAAGTAGCACCACATGCAACTTATAGATACAGGACATTAGAGCACACAAGCCTTTCCTGTAATAAGTAATAACTGTTCTAACTTCTTTTGCTTCCGCAAAAGCACTGGTAGGCGGTAGCCTAAGGTCAAAACGTTCTACGTTTTAACCCCTGTTTATAGTTCGAAAAATTATCGGCATTGAACCAGTCGAAAAATAGATTATCTAGTAGGTCTTCTATAGAGGACCAATAAAAGCTAACCCGTTTTTAACTTTTATTAGATGTACCAAGTTTCCAGGCCCGATGAAGGTTTCCGGTTTCTAACCGTTTATATTTTTAAACCGAAAAAAAATACACGTTTACGTTAAACTTATATTGCTCTTATGAGGCCACAAACACTAAAAGTAAACAGACGTGTGGGTCACGGACTTCACGGCCCACGGGTGCGACGGTGTCGGGAGTGTTTTACTTTTATTGTTTTTGAATTATTTTTAAATTTATTGGGATAAAAAAAAGTGTTAACGGTATGTGTTCAAATCTAGTGGTGGCGGGTGAATGCCAAGGATTCTATTGGCCCGCAGACATTTTATAATATAGCCACGTGGCCGTTTAATCTGATTATACATATGATCAACTTTTGTGGATTGTGCTTAGGTGCATACAAGGGAACATCATACGATGCAGTTCTCTATTGAGCCCTCTCTCTGTTAGAGTTAGAGTAATACTGGCATCCATTACATATGCCCTATTTTGCTATCTTTGTGAAAATTACAATACAGTCAATGATGTATCCATACTGATAACGATCTATCCGTACTGATGAACAACAACCTTTAGAATCTGTGAGCATTATCGACAAATAGACTGTTGCTTATATATCTCAACCTCTGGTCTCTGGTCCGCCCTTCGTGCAACCACTATAGAACATGCATCTGTCAATATAAATTATAAATTTATATATATATATATATTTATATATATATTGTGTGTGTGTGTGTGTATGTATATATATATATATATATATATGTAATGTATATGTATGTATCCACGAGTATTTCCATGTATATGTATATGTGTGTGTGCATGTGTGTGTATGTTTGTATGTATTATAAATTTAAACGCTATAAATATATAAATATATATATATATATATATGTCTGTGTGTGTGTGTGCGTGTGTGAGTGTTTGTGTAAGAACCTATAGTGATATATATATATATGTGTGTGTGTTCGTGTGTGAGAGTATGTTTATGTATTTATATATATATATATATATGTGTGTGTGTGTACGTATGCATGTATG